TTAAAAGCTTATTATAATCTTACAGCTCTTTTTATAACACTATCTAGATATTATAATAAGTATAGTAGTATTAAGTAGACATTTCTAGTAGATATATATATTAACTTCTTCTTTTAGATCTAGAAAGCTATTCTTACGCAAGTCTTCTAGAATAACTCTCTTATACGTAAGAAGATCTATAAGCTTCTTAGTAAGAATAAAAATAGTATTCTAAAGTATATCTAGAAAGAGTATAAGTATATTATTAGAAAGATTAAGATACTATAGCTAGTAGTTAAGAAGCTTAAAAAGGCTACCTTTACTAAGAGCGCTAATAGTAAATATCTAGACGTTTTTTTCTTTACTAATAAAGGTATACCTTCTTCTTATAAGAGATAGTAGTATATTTAGAATTATAATTATAGTATAAGAGATACTATTAGACGTTTTATTAATAAGATTAATATAGAACTAGATATTTACTACTACTTCTATAACGCTGCTAACCTTAACACTATACTTACTTTTTTCTTTTTATTTAAGACTTCTTAGGCTTACGCTAGTAGTTTAGCGTCTAGTCTATTATTACTCTCTAGCTTCTTACGCTCTCTAATAACATTACTACTACTAGTTCTACTACTTTCTTCTTAGTTTAAGATACTAACACTAGCTTTATTAGCTTCTACTACTAGCTTATCTAAACTACGTTATAGTAAATAAAACGTAAAGTAGACTAGATATACTAATAACGTTACTAGTACTTAGATTTTAGGTAAGCTTCTTATTTTATCTAAAATCTACCTACTATCTACACTATAGTAGTGCACTACTAATATCTCTACTTAATTATTTATTTTACTTTTTACTTTCTTTTATATATTTTTTCTTTATCTTTTCTTTATACTATAAGTAAGTAACACGTTCTAGATAGTATAATAGAACTATACTACTAGAAAGAGAAGGTTTATACTAGTGTATAAGGTATTCTTATATAAATTAGATCTTTAATAACCTAAGAATTACCTAGAGAGAGAACGTCTTTTAATAAGAGCTTTTTAGAATTATCTTATTATCTACTATCTTATCTTTTACTTATGCTTTTTAGTAATAAACTTTTATATAATACTTTAGATAATAGAATCTCTCTATAATAGAACTCTTTTCTACTAAACTAATGTCTATATACTTTTTTACTTATACTAATTACTTTACGTTCTTATAGTAATATATCTTTATACTCTCTAATACCTATATAATACTTACTTCTTTCTTATAGTATATTTTATCTTATTAGTTTTCTTTCTTACTAGATAGAGCTGTAGCTTATATACATTAGTAACTATCTAGATATTAGTAATCTAGTATACCTTTTATATTTTTATACTAATCTAGTATAGTTAAGTATTAGAATATAAATATCTTATAACTATTAAAAGAAACTAATATAATATAACTAATATTTAAGTATACTTTAAGAATTAAATATATCTAATAATAATAATACTACTAACGCTAATAGCTCTTCTCTAGAGATAACGTACTAAGTCTTTAATAGATACTAGTTAAGTAGTAGCTTAGTTTAGCGTATAAAAAACTACTTATTACTAAGTAGCTATAGTTACTAGCTACTATACTACTAGATAGATAGAGGTATATCTATCTAATTTTTATATAGTAGCTTCTTATAGAAAAGTAACTCTATAGTTTACTACTAAACTTATAGGTATAGACTCTTCTATAACGTTATAGCTCTAGAAGTAGAAATAATATTTATAACTAAGTAGTAACTATATAAGTTAGAAAGTAGTAGAAATAGAATAGTAGAAAATTATAAGTATAGTATCTACGTACTATTAGCGTATATACGTAGAGCGCTTATATAATATAGCCTATATATAGTAAAAGTAGCGCTTTAGCGTATAGTGTATAGTATAATTAAGAACTAACCTCTATACTACTATAGCGTATAAGTAGTAAGAGAAGTGTAGTAGTATACTACGTACACTAAAATAGATAGCTAATCTATATACTATAGTAAATATTATATACCTATATTATAAGAAGAATATACGCTATTATAAATATAGTAAGTATTAGACTTTATATTATATCTACTAACTACTTTTAAAAATATAACTAGAGTAAGCGCTTTTCTACTAAAGACTTTTAATAAAACGTAGTACGTAGTTTATATTAATCTTACTTAAGATAATAACTCTCTACTATATTATTATATACTTTTAATACTACTAAGCCTACTAGCGTATAAGCTAGCTTATATCTACCTTAATAAATACCTCTATAAAAAGAATATCTTACCTCTTCTACGTCTATAATAATAATATCTAAATACTTTACTAAAGTACTCTAAGAGGTATTTCTCTACGCCTAAGTTATTCTTCTTACTAGGTATATACGCTATTTAGTTATTAGATAACTTTTAGTATAAGAATATTATATTAGATAAGCTTTTTAATATTAAGTCTATAGATAAAGTAGTCTTATACTTCTATACGTAGTATCTAATATAGTTAATAGAGATAATATAACTTAGCTCTATTAAGTCTACGTAGATTATAGATTCTAGAAGCGTTAAGAGCTAGTCTATAGTATAAGAACTAACTAGAGAGCCTTATAAGTGTAGAAATAGAATAATCTATTATCTATCTTACCTCTAGTAGTATAGTATATATTACGTAAAGTTCTTTATTTCTTTTAGAAAGAATAGAACTTTATAAATTATTATTACTTTAGTAAATTTAACTTCTTAGAAGTAGAGTTATAAGAGTTACGTAGATAGTAGAGAGAAAGCTTCTACTTTAATAGATAATATAGCTTTTATAGTAGACTTTCTTTTATAAACTATAATAGTAGTAGTATTAACTTAGCCTAACTTTTAAATTAAGTTTTAGAATTTTCTATAGTACTTTTAAGTTTAGCTATTATTACTAGTAGCTATTAATTAATATAACTTTAGTGTATACGCGTATCTTAGTTTTATATATATAGAGTATATTCTACTACTATAAGTATTAGTTCTAGCTAATAACTATTAAGAGATCTAAGAGTAGCTTTATCTAGGTTTAAATTACTAAAACGTACTATAGTAAGTCTTAGACTTATACTAGTAAAATAGTATATATACCTTATTCTATATATATATTATAGCACTTTAATAATTAGCTATATTAGTAATATATTTACTAAGTAGCTATTTAGCGTAATTTAAGACTATAAGCTAGAATAAGTAGTTGTTAAAAACGCGCTAAGAGAATTACGTATTTATTACCTCTTCTAATTATTAGCTCTTACTACTCTAAATAGTAATCTATACTATATATTCTATTTAAAGAAGCTAGTAGAAGGTTATAAAATATACTTAATTCTAGATTAATACTTAGTAGATATAAGAAAGAGAAGGTAGCTTATATACGTAAAGATAATATAGATCTAGTAGTAAGATAATAGTACTACTAAGAATAATATACTTTTGCGCTACTACTTAATCTTTATAGATTTATAGAATATATTATTTTTAGTGTAGAGTAAAGAGAGCTATAAGTATAGAGTATTATTTCTAATACCTAAGTATCTATAAGAGAGTAGAATTTATACTAATATTAGCGTTACTAGTTTATATTATAATATAGATAAGGCGTAGTTTAATAAGTAGACTAAGAAAGAAGAATATATTAGACTTAAGATAAAACCTATATACTTTATACTATATAATATAAAAAGCTATAGCTCTAGAAGCTATAATAGAGTTATAGAGTATTCTACTATTATACGCAACGTTACCTTATATATAATATTATCTTATATATAGTATTAGCTTATACGTAGTATTAGCTTATATATAGTATTAGCTTATATATAGTATTAGCTTATATATAATATTAGCTTATACGTAGCGTTAGCTTATATATAATATTAGCTTACACGTAATAGAGTTAACTCTAATAGAAGATTAGGTTATATTTTCTTTTAGTTAGATACTTTTACTACTTAGCTATTATATTATAATAAAAGTTTTGTAGATTACTAGCTAGTTTTATAGATTACTAAGGTTAGTAGATTATCTAAGATAATCTACTATAGATTACATTTTATAAATATATATAGATTAAATATTTTCTATCTCTATCTAATATCTTATTATACTATAATACTTAATTTTAGATTAAAACTTAGTAGATATAAAAAGAGAAAGTAGCTTATATATATAAAGATAATATAAATCTAATAGTAAAATAATAGCTTTAGTATAAAAAGTATAGCTTTATACTACTAGTTAATCTTTATAAGAATATAAAATATATTATTCTTAGTATAAAGTAAAAAAAGCTATAAGTATTTTTAGTAATATTAGTATAAGTAGAATATCTTATAATTTAAATAATATATAGTTTAATAGATAGACTAAGAAAAAAACTAATTAAACTTAAAATAAAATCTATATACTTTATAGTAAAATATAAAAAGCTATAGCTCTAAAAGCTATAATAAAGTAATAGAGTACTCTAGTATTATATATAATATTACTTTATATATAATAGAGTTAACTCTAATAGAGAAAGCTGCGTTAGTAATATAGTAATGTTATATTATTATAGGTTGCGTTTCTACTAGCTATAGTAGTAGAGTTAAAGTAGAGAATTATTATAGAGAATAATAAAGAAAAGAAAGAAGATAGAACTAGAGTTAGACGTAGTAACGTAGCTACTAAGGTGCTTATAGACGAGCTGCTATAGGTTGTTATAGAGTAGATAACGTTACTAGAGTAGATTACGAGGTTAGTTTAGAGCGCAAGAGTAACTAAGAAGTATGTCGCGACGAAGAAATAAGGAAAGTAAGGGCAGGAGAAGTCGTAGCTAATGTTAGTAGTGGGCGGTACGAGGAGCCGGGCCGTGACGACAACGACGCGCTGAATAACACATAGTAAACAGTTTACACACTACCGCGCTAGATACGAAAGAGGCAGAGGATAGCAGCGCGATCTTGATAGTGCGTTCGGGGAGCTACTTTAGCACGAAGAATCCGCCGTTCTCTACGCCCACGACATTGACTTCCTTTTGTTCTAAATCCGATGCGTTCTCTTTGCCTAGCGCCCACTCCAGCGTTCGGGAGATATCCGTAACAATCATCCACAGCAGCCCTCGATACCTCAGCGGCGAGTTGTGTGTCGCAATCCAGTACTTCGCGTCCGTCTGCCTTTGCAACTCCAACCCAGTCGCAACGCCGAACGTGGTCTGCCAGTTGAACGTCCAGCTCTCTTTGAGACCGTGAAGCAGAGCAAGCACCTTGAAGTCCGGCGACGATCTTCGCAAAAGAGTCTGCAGAGACTCCTGAGAAGTGCGCATGCCGTGCGGGGAGTACAATACCGCTTCGTGTACGTCCGGTGAAGGCGTGTAAATGATTGCGCTGGCGAAGTTAAGCTCGTGGTGGCCGCGGGCTCGGAAGACGGTTAGCCAGGTTGGTAATGGGCTGCCTGGATGCAGCGATGTCCAGTCGCCGTCGAAGAGACCCGGCTCCAGGTCTTGGGTGGTGATGATGTTGTCGAAGTGGTTCCAGCGGCGAATGATCGCGCTCGCTTCTGTTGTCGCGAACACGGGTATGCTTGACGCGAAAGTCAGCAGTGTCGGCTTGTGCAGGTGGTCGTCGTAGTGGAAGCGGACGAAGATCGCATCGATCGGTGAAGCATCTTGAGTGATGGGTGCTGTGGTAGGAAGGATCCCGGCGTCTGCGGCTGCAGCTTCGACGTCGCGCGCAATGCCTTCTACATCGCTTCCGTTGTTGACGGCGGGTGGAGACGACAGGCTGAAGCTTGCTAGCCATATCCCCAATAGATTGACAGCACCGTTGAACCATGGGTCATGTACGATGTGGTAGTACGCTTTCCCGCTGGTAATCCGCTCTTCTACGGGTCGTGGGAAGGAAAGAAGCCATGAATTGTCTCCGTTCAAGGATGTGAATATCGGTCGCAACTGCTGCTGGCCGACTGCTGCGTTGCAAATCTGCGTCTTAAGTGCGATAGTACGGTCGTCCGCCATAGCAGTTGTGAGTTGTTCCAAAGCCGCAGTGAAGTACGAGAGTAGAGGGAGTGGATTGAGCACATACGTCATGTCTGACGTGAGATTCAAGGTCACTAAAGTGCGTTTCAGCCTTGTACGAATGCTATCCAATAGACCGCGAGACGCGGTTCGCCTGACGAGGGGTAGTTACGCCCGTGTAACCATGTCGCCCACAGGCTAGATCACACGATCGAACCAGATAAGACCGACCTTCACGTCGCTCTCGAGGCCCACACCGACCGCGACAACCTTCCCGGTCTCTATCCGAATCTCGCCTCGAATGGTACTGTACAGCTTTCCCTCCCACACGCCGTGCATCTCCACCGCGAATGTATTACCGCTAAGGTGTGCGAACGTGAGCATGTACGGGAAGCATCGATCTGTGCAATCCGCAACAAGCCTGCCGTCCTTCATCTCGATGACCAGGCTCTTGTATCCAACGTTGTGGTAGCTACCGACTATTGCGTCAAGAGGAACCTCCAGCGGTTGCGCTTCGTCCACCTTCGCCCACTCTGGCTTTTCCGCCTCCTCGGCATCGTCCATGGCCTGGAAGTTCTTGAAGAAAGCGCTCCAATCGACGCGGTTTTCGTCGCGTACGCCGAGAACATCATCCAGTAATGTGAACTTCAGGATGTCATTGACGTACATGGCGGTATCTGAGTTCCCGAAGATGACGAGGCCCCAGTCGAACTTGGGGAGGAAGCAGATCATCGCTTTGAAGCCAGGCACTGAGCCGTAGTGGCCGATGACCGTGTGGCCGCGATAGCTCGTGCGGGATAGGCCGAGGGTGTAAAGTTCGTCGCTCTTGTAGGGTATGGCCCATTTCTCGTCGCCGAGGAGATCGAAGCTTCGAGGCGTGGCGAGCGCTTTGTGGCTATCCTCGGATAGGATGGGGTCACGTTTGATGAGCGCGCGGATGTATTTCGCGTAGTCGCCTGCGCTGCTGAAGATGCAGCCCGCGCCGTGACCTTCGGGGGCAGTAGGGTAGTGAGGGAGTGCGACGTAAGACTCGGATTCGCTGTTCCAGTAGTACGGCCTTGCGCGTCGATCGGTGTCGCTGTGGGCGTGGATATCAGGTACGTCGTGGAATGTATTGGTCATGCCAAGTGGCTTCCAGAGCTTGGTCCGGATGAAGTCGGTGTAGGCCATACCAGTCACAGTTTCGATGAGATGCACAGCGACACTGAACATGATGTTGCAGTAGATGTGCTCGGTACGAAGTGGTTTGACGAATTCGAGGTTGCGCAGATTGCGCGTCAAGGACTTCGCATTGTCGGGGTGTTTGGCGCGCGCGCTGAGGTAGGACTCGTCATGAGTTGCGATGCCACTCCGGTGACTCAAGATATCTTCAATGGTGACTTGCTCGGTGAGATATGGGTCGGGAAGAACGAAGTCATCGGGAAGGATCTTTGACACGGGTGTTGTCCATTGTACGTCTGGGTACTTCTCATCGTCTACGAGAATAGCCACGGCTGCCGCAGTGGTACACTTGGAAGTGCTTGCGAGGTCGAACAGGGTGTCTGTAGTCGCTTGGGTGTCGGGTAGTTCCGAATAGCCATACGCCTGAGGGATGTGAGTGCTCCGCAGTAGTTCTTGTGGAGAGGCCTAGATACCTTGGAGTGGATGTCCTCGCCTTGTACAACCGCCAGCGACAGACCAGGCACGTGGAACTCGCTGATCTTCTCTAGCACTAGCTTCTCGAATTCGGGAGTCCTGTAAGCCATAATGTGGATGGGATTCTATACTGTATGCATTCGCAGGTCGCTCGCTATATATGTTACTACGATACACCGGTTTATAGGCAGCGTGGAAGCTCTTCACTAGGTGAGCCACACGTACTCTTGGTCAGAATGATTCATCTGCACTATCTCGAGTCCATTCCGCTTATGGCATGATTCGGTATATCATAGCGTGCCGTTGGAAGCGGAAGGCGTGATGTGAGTCAAGGCGCGCTGCGGATAACTTAGGCCGGCGACGAGTTCCGTCATCCGCGTATACGGAGCCAATCAGCTGGTAGCGCCTGGAGATCCTCGCCCAATCGGTACGTGGTGGTGCATATTGGGCATGGAAAGAGCTCCCGTCACACAACTCCTTGACAGGAACGGAAGCCACACTTGATCCAGTTGTGTCGTGCATACGTCTACGTTTCGCGGTTACAGGAAGTTGCCGCTCGAGAAGCGATCCCCAAAACCCTTTGATTTGCTGAGCATCTCGCGCTTTTGCTTGTGATTGAGCGAGCCGCTCACAGCCATGTCCTTCTCGTAGTCGAATGCTCGCTTGCTGGGATCGTCCTCCTTCTCCTTGCCCGTGCCCTTGTCTTGATGTTGCTCGACCAGACTCTTGCCGCGTGTGGCATCAATCTTCTCGCGCATCTTGCGTGCCCTCCTCTCCTCCTCCTTGTTCCGCTTTGACTCCGAAGTGGCAGGCGCAGAATTGGTGGGCGCGGTTATGCCCAAGGCCTCGTCTTGCAACCGCTTGAGCTTTTGCTCTGGTGTCTCGGTCCATGCGCTGCTCATGCCTCCAGTGCCTCCTGCGCCCTTGCCTGTATTGAACTTGCGTGCGCGCATCTTGGTAGGGTCCATTCTAGCGGCGAGGTCGTCCTGCGTCGGGGGCAGTGTCATCCATTCGTCGCGCTGTGCCTTCTTCGGCGCATCGGTGAATTGCGGTTCCGTGTCGAATGCCGATTTCCCCATGGCGTTGTCGAAGCCTGAAGACGCTCCACCAGCTGGTGGCGGCGCGGGCCCAAAGTCATCGTCGCTGCTGTCGGAGTCGCTGTCTGGGGGGTTGGGCGGCCGCTCATCGAGAGGCGCTGGCGGTGGAGCAGGCCCGACTATGCGCGCAGGCTTCGCGGATGGCGGAGGCGCAGGACCGACGTCGCTGTCGACACTACTGGATCGTGACGTCGCGTGTGGTGGTAGTGAAGGCCCAGCTGTGCGCGGAGGTGAGGATGCGGAAGGTGGAGGTGCTGGGCCGATGACTCGTCTGCGCTTGTCGCCGGACTCTGGACTCGATGCGCGATCATCGTCGTCGTCGCGACTGCGCTTGGAGAGGTGCGGCGGCATGGTGGGTCCTATTGAAGGCATCGTGGGTTGTGGGGTGTGAATGGAAGGTGTACCTGACTGCGCGTCGAGTGACGTTCTTTGGAGCTTGAAGCTTGGACCTTCACCAACGGCGCGGCACATGCGGCGATCTGCGAACTGCGCCATGAGCTCCGGAGACGCGCCATCCTTGCCAGCCCATGCCAACCCTCGTGGGCGCCTTTCACCCTCTCAACTGACGTACACGCCCGTCGCATACGTCCTCGGTTGCCGCGCTATCCGCCCGGACGCACGCCTAACTCGCCTTCGCGTAGGCAGCACCGACCCGTACCGCAGACCATCACCGAAACCCCCGCGCCGAGTCGACTACACCCACGAATCACAACCTCCAAGAGAAAGATACTAGACATCGCGCAACTACCCACAGCTATCAGATGTGCGCCTGAAGCAATGCCCTGCGCAGAACGAGCCTGATGAGCTCAGATTCGGAAGAGAGCCACTCCAGCGCTCACAACGACCATGGAGACGACATAGACGCCAGGGAAGGCGCGGTGGGCGCTTTTGATGCACAACAAGATGATTCTGGGGAAAGCGCGACCGACCGGAGAAGCGTGGACGAAGACGACAGCGAAGATGTGCAGTCGGTAGACAACGGCATCGAGGGCTTGACGTTTGCCAGGACACGGCGGAGAAGCCCTCAGGAAGAGACGCATGATTCAGCATCGGTGCTGTCCATACGACCGACTATAGAGGTGGCAGACAGCCCTGCCTCGACGGACATACCCGACGATACCCCCTCGATTCAGGTATGCAGCATGGCGAATCACCATGGGAATCCTCTGACCAAGACAGGGTTCCGGTATATCCTCACCCACGAGCAGCGTGCCCGTGTCGCACAACTCGCTGCGTCCTCATAGACCGACATCGCTGCAGCCATTCGAACGCCGCTTCTCCTCCCGCCTATCTCCATCGCCTGGACCAACACCGCGCGGCCAGTCACCTGCCTTCCTATCGCCGCACTCGCGGCAATCCTCCGTATCGAGCAATCTCGTCTTCCAACAACTTTCTGATGACGGATCCGAGACGCCTCAGGCACCATGGGAGGTCGTGCGATGGACGAAGTTAAAGAAGATCACCGGACAAGTTTTCTCTGAGATTGGCAAGCGCAACTTCGGCCGGCCCACATGCTTACATGTGACCGTCTCGTTGGCGATAGGAACGTCGAAAGGCTTCATCCTCATCTTCGACTACCAGCAGGTCCTCAAGTCCATTATCGGCCCGGGTACCAAGGCTGTCGAATGCGGTGCCATCACTTCGCTAGCCATCGCTGCTGATCACTCGGCCATTGCAGGGGGGCATGCGACAGGTCACATCTTCACATGGGAGTTGGCGAAGCCGGCCAAGCCATTCTTGCACATCCCGCCTCTGGAAAGGGCGTCTCTGGAGGACAACAAGTCAGATGGCCATGTTTCGGGCGTAGCCATTCTGCATCTGGGTTTCCTCGGCACCCGGCGCACAGCGCTCGTCTCCGCAGATGACGCAGGCATGGCCTTCTCCCATCTCGCGACACGTGGGCTGGGGGCGATCGCGCGGACGGTCAAGACGACGCGGATCTTGGGGCGATATCCATTGTCGGCAAAGTCACTGGAGAAACCTCGGAAACCAAGTTCAGTGCTGGCCTTCGCACCCCTGCCCTTAGGCAACGTTGAGCAGCCAACCGACAATATGGGTCTGACCGCACTGCTAACACCCTATCTGTTAGTCATTGTCTCGACTACTCCGGTTGCACAGACCCAGCACAAAGCGCCCCGACCCAAGGATGTGGAAGCGCACAGCGCGTTGAGCGGGTGTTTGTCTTGGTTTCCGGCTGTCAAGCTGAAGAGCTCCTCCGATGGGTCCGACAATGCAATCTCCAAAACCAAGCTCGTGTACTGTTGGTCTAACGTCCTGACCATACTGGAAGTAGACTCTATCCTACCACCCCCGTCGGAAAGAGAAAAGCCCGTCGAGCTTCGCTTCAGACCTCGGAGTCGCTGGAAGGCAGAAGAAGCTATTGTTGCTGTTCAGTGGCTGAGTCGATCAGTTCTCAGCGTGCTTACCATCAGTCAGCGCCTCATGATCTTGGAAGACAACACCCTCCGCGTGACAGACTCATTCGATTTGCTGCAGAAGCACATCTACCACTCGGACCTTTTCTCACGACAGCTCAAGCCGGTCGTTGAGCAGCTTAATGAAGACGATGCGTCGTTACATGGTGTCGTGGCAGATGCCTTCTACATGAGTTTCCGGGCGTACAAGGGTCGGCTGTTCCTCCTGGGTTTCAACGACTGCTCCATCGGCACTCTCTCAAACTGGGCTGACCGCCTGCTGGCCTTGATGGAGGATGGCGACTACATTGCCGCTATCGGTCTCGCGACTTCGTACTACCTCGGGGATGCGGACAAGCTCACCGTCGGACTGCCCGACGATGACAAAGCACGCCATGCGCTTGTACAGCCAAAGCTGCTCGAGATGATTACGGCCTCATTGAAGTATTCCTTCTCAAGACAGGACGACCTCGATCGCGATGCGCAGGAGCGTCGAGCGAAAGAGCTTGCTGAGGCGGTCTTCACAGGTTTGCTATGCATGGAGGAATATGACTTCTTGTTCGAAGACGTTTACGATACCTACGAAGAGGCGTCAGCAGAGAAGGCTTTCTTTGAGACCCTCGAGCCATACATACAAGACGACGAGATCACCTCAGTGCCACCGAACGTCCTGAAGGACCTCATCACGTTCTATGCCTCAGCCAATCGCTCCGCCCAGCTCGAAGAGATGATCTGTCGGCTCAGCACCGATACGATGGACCTCAACCAAGTCACCATGCTCTGTCAGCAATACGTATTGTACGACGCGTTGATCTACGTGTGGACGAGAGCTATTGGCGACTACATCACGCCACTCACCAACATTCTAGAGCTCATCAAGCTTGTAGACTTTGATGTGGATGAGACAGAGAACATATATCTCACTGCCGCGAAGAAGATCTTCCCATACCTGGCGTACACCTTCACTGGGCGAGTATACCCCGGCGGCGCGTTCATGGAGGATGATAAAGCGTATAGTGCCAAGAAGGACATGTATCGGTTCCTGTTCTCGGGTAAGAATCTGGAATGGCCTCCAGGCTCGGGCGATGTCATCTTGACACAGTCTGACGGCAGCCCAGAGCCTCCATTTCCGTATCTGCAGCTCGTCTTGGACTTTGACGCTTCGAGCTTCATGAGCATGTTGAACGAGGCCTTTGAAGACAGCTTCTTGAATGGCGAGCAAGATGCGTCAAACGGGGCCCAGCTTAACGGCACGCACAAAGGGTCCGCTCTCACTCCCACTCGCCAGTCCATCATCAACTACCTTTTCGGGATCATGAATACCGACAACTTCGACCCGGAGGACATCATCTACTTCTACATGTTCGTCGCGCGAAATCTACCGAAATACCCGCAACATATAATGCTTCCAGGCACGTCGCTGCATCAAGTCCTCATCGGTCTCTGCGATTACCCTACGGAAACGATCAAGGAAGACTGTCAGCTCTCAGTCGAGTATCTTCTCTCCATCTACCACCCACCCAGTCCACAGAGTCTTGTGCCGCTGTTCGAGAAGGCTGGCTTTCATCGCGTGCTCAAGTCCGTGTACCGGAGCGCACACCAATACGCTAAGCTGCTCGAAACGTACCTTGACGATGAAGAAGACGAAGAGGCAGTGTTTGGGTGTATTGCTGACATCTTTCGGCCAAGCAAAGGTGTTACTAAGAAGCAGCTGAACGAGGTCAAGACAATCATCGTCAGTCGCGCTGTAGACTTGGCTGCGATCGACGCGTCGCAAACTGCGGTGACACTGAAGCAATATGCGGTCGATCTGCTGGAGCCAGTTCTCTGCGCTATCGAAGCCGGTAGCGATGCCCAATACCGCTATCTACAGGCTTTGATCGAACCAGAGCAAGCTGCGACAGGCAGCGTCGCAACTATGGATGAGAATCTACCTGCTGGATTCATCGAGAACTATGTGCAGCTCATGTGTACTTACAACAGCGCGCATGTGGCAGACTTCGTCGGCTCGTTGAAGTCCAGCGACCTTCGACTGGATCCGGTTCTGCCCGCGCTGGAAAAGAGCGGCGTCATTGACGGTGCTGTCATATTGATGGCACGAGATGGCCTAGTCCAGGGAGCCATGGATCGACTTGTGAAGCATCTTGGTACGCTTCAGACTGCCTTGATCGGCCTCATCGAAGCCGCCTCAGAGACGCCAGATGTGGCCAACACCGAGGAAGCAGTCCACGATCTTCTCGAAGACATTCAGAAGTACATCAAGGTTGGCATATGGTTATGTCAAGGACAGACCCGATCCAAAGAGCCGCGACCAGAGTCAACTATCGACAGACGGAAGTCGGCATACGGAGAGGTTCGTGAAGGGGATCTTGCGCCAGACGAACTATTATGGCTTGAGCTTGTCGACACGTCCGTGCGACTCATCAGAGACACATCCAGCGCCGTTGCTGACCACGACGCTTCCATCACATCAACGGGCGTTGACCCAGCCGACACCGTCGACACAGCTCGCATCGTATCCACACTCCGCTCCTCGATCCAACTAACCTTTTCCGCCCTCCTCACATCCACCACCATCCCACCCACACGAAAGACCCCCCAATCTCACTCAACTCCAGACACCACAACCCGCCCACCCCTCCGCCCCACCCAATCCCGCGCCCAATCCAACCCCTCCTTCCTCCGCATCCTCCGCTGCTTCCTCACCCGCGCAACACACACCTACTCGCCCTCGCTCTCGGACCTGCGCTCCGTCCTCTCAGAAATCTTCGCAGCCTACACCTTCGAAGAAACCATCCTCAGCCTCGCAAACCGCTTCCTCGACAAAGAATCCTTCGAGCACGTCCACGAGATCACCGAGCTGCGGAAGCGCGGGTGGAGACCCCGCGGCCAGGTCTGCGAGGGGTGTAAGAAGAGGGCTTGGGGGCCGGGTGCGGGGCCGGGTGTGTGGGAGGCTTGGGAGAAGAGGGAGGAGGGGAGGAGGAAGGTTAGGGATGAGGTTGTGAGTGGGGAGGGGGAGGGGAATAAGAAGGCGAAGGGGAAGAGACCGAGTCAGGCGGATGTGTTGGATGATGGGGAGGAGGAGGGGCAGAGGGGGCAGGGGCTTGTGCTGTTTGCTTGTAGGCATTTGTGGCATAGGAGTTGTTTGGAGAAGGAGAGTGCTGGAGAGGAAGGTGGTGGGGAGGTGGGGAAGATGATGGGGAGGATGGGGTTGAAGTGTCCGCTCTGTTGAGCGAGTGATACATTCGATTCAGATCTACAGTAATTTACAGTTCTTCGCAACGCTCTTTGTATTGTGAGCGGTCCAGTCCTTCTCTTCGCACTATATTTGGGGAAGAATCAAGTCTGCGTTGACGTGTACATCAGGGAGCGCGAAAATCTTCGCTAGCTCTAGGCGCAGATTAGCCTTGACCTCTTCGTCCGAGATTCCAATATATAGGCTGTCGAGAAGCTGATGACTCGCGAGCTGAGAACCGTGTACCAGATTGACTGTGAGGTGAAGATTCTTCAGGCCGGGCAGCCTCCGATATAGATCACCTAGGGAGTCAAAGATGTCGTGATCCCAAGATGAGTCGCTCGCTGGTCTTTGCTGGACATCGATGGGAGAAAAGGACGTGCGGGGGTATAAGGCATCGTATACGGATACAACGATGCTGTCGCCTTCAATTTGTATAGGGAGTCTTATGTCGCCCAAGTCGACCGAGGATATCGCAAGCCGCGCAACATCAGGCAGTGACTCCAACCACAAGAAGAATGACATAGAGCGTCTGGCCGCGAATTTACTGTGTGAAAAGAAGAGTAGCCATGCCTCTGAGTGTATCTGGCGCGACACTTCCAGCAAAGGTGAGCCGAAGGAAGACTTCGTTCTATAGTGGTTTGGCTCGGTCTCCTCGTATAGTCGGAACTTCTCGTATAGTCGGAAATTCTCGTATAACCGGAACACCTCGTAGACTTTGTCTTCACAATCTCGCTTCTCATGGCAATAGCCGACATCCCACGTTCGGTTTCCGAGTACGTAACCGTAGATCCGATTCCGTAGTTCATCGGGTAGCTTGAGCAGCGGGGAGGTGCGTTGGTTTCGTGCGGCGCTGTGCATTGTTAGTACCATCATCATGACGCATAGTAGTGGGCTTCAATACTTACATTGCCTTGTTCCAGGGTGAGCTGTCGGTAAGCACGACCATCTTGCAGTGTCGCGGGTTGTCCGGGGGTTGAGGGCGAGAGAGACGCTGGAGAGACGACCACAACAAGATATTGACAGTGCGAGAGCTAAGCGAGACTGCGACGAGGGAGCAAACGGGCGAGGAGATGACGTAGGCCCTTTGCTCTTTCCGTCCTCACCTCGGGATACAAGTACAGTCGCTGTCATCGAAGCGGTATCTCGTCGCGAACCCCGCCGCTGCGCTTCACTTACTTCACCCGTCTCTACGATGTACTGCACGAACATGCCTAGAAAGTGGATGACATTCGTATCATGACCCTTTTGAGCAAAGAATAAGGGTCGCCATCGCTTCACGCGATGTGTCACAAACGTGATGTGCTACTAACATCAGCCATGCCCGACAAGTACATGTACGTCCATACTCACGTAAACCTTCGGCCGCCCAAACATCCTCTCGACTTCAGGACGTAGCTGTGCGATTGCCATAGTTTTGGCGCGCCGAACAGCCGCGTCGTCTGGCTTATTCCAACTGACCGCGAATTTGCTTACATTAAGGACGAGATGAATGCATTCAAGGCCCGGTAAGAGAGCATACAACTCACCCACGCCATCTACCATGCGCATATTCTGCACAGGCCCGCGCATCCGCATAACGCGACGCTCTTTATGCGGGTGTCCCGCAGTCCACCACACGGGAAACCTTGTCTCAAGGACATCGTTCGTGATCTCGCCGCAATGACCTTCATTCAATCGGAGAGAGCGGATAGCGGATCTTGCGGGGTCTGGCAGTTGATGCAACCACCACACTAAAGCATCGATCGACGTGCCTCCATAATAGTCCGCCTCGAACGTGTTGAGCGCGTAGGGGAGTAACCATGTTTCTTGGTGTATCTGACGACAGACTCGGTGTAGGGTAAACCCCAAAACCCGGACTTTCGGATCACCACATAGGACACAATTGCAATCGTCGTGATAACGTGAGACTTTTCGCCAAGCATAGTCTTTGTGGCAGGTAATGTGCCAAGTGACATCGCTATCGAGGACGTACTCATAGATACGGTTTCTAAGCTCACCGGGGAGCTTGAAAAGAGGAGAGTTGGAATGGTTTATTGCGGCTCTGATAGTTGTTAGTCGCCCAGGACTTCGGGGCGTTACATGTAGAGTGTGGGACTTACATTGCTATTTGCTCCGGTCCAGCCTCACTTAGTACCACCATGTTTCCGATGATGATATGTGCGATGGATCTAGGAGGGAAGGAGTCTTGGTGGGAATCGACGCACAGGAATGAGATCACAAACCACAGGCAATTCGCCGAGTTGATGTATCGGACTGTGGACCCACAATGTCGTTTTGGAGTGCGCACGACGCGAGCTGCAATTGGTTCAGGCCTTCACAGTCCACGGTGCCTTGTTCTGTCATGTGAACATGGTTGCGCGGTTGTGACATTGCTTTGTAGCGCGAGCGTTGTGCGCTGACAGCCTAATTGTCGGATCGTAGCGCATACTTGTTCTCATGTCGGCTCTCCACGCGCGTAGCTGTCGTCGAGAGTTCTCTTTTGACCATAGATACTGTACAAGTCGCTACGCTCTGGAGCTATCCGGTAGTCATGATAGCCTACAGCAGATACAGTAGTGTGTTCGTCGTCGTAGTAAGAACTTGTAGCATGTAAGATCATAGATGCTTATGCATATGCCTTACATGACTAGCACGTTCGACAAATGAGGAACACAGAGGGTCCAGCGCTTTCCGTACCCGTGCGCCCATACATTTCGCAGGCCCTGTATCTCAGTAGGAATGTTTCGAAACTGCGTACGTGCGTAGATTGATTCCATGCGGTGCACGAAAAAGTCCCTTTGACTCCGATCAGTCGAAGCTGCTCCAGCAACAAAGCACACCCAGACGAGGGCGTGAAAGCCACGCGCGTCAGGAAGGATTTTCGACATCATACCGATAAGCTGCTGGACCATGTGTGCTTGTATCGTGTCATGGAAGCTTGGGATTGTATCGACGTTGGCTGCGCATCGCATGTAAATGTCACATGCGGAAACGAAACATCGCCGTATCAGATCCGCAAGGCGTCGATCTTCGCTATTCTCTTGGAGATGCGTATATGATAGCCACTCCATCAAAGATTCAGAAGCTCTCATTGTCGTCAGCAAACCTGCCTCCTCGCCGAGCAACGGTACGCCATACGATATATTCCAACTATACGAGGAAACCAAGCCAGGCCGCTACAAGTCGAAGTCATTCTTGGTCGCTATGTACCCTTAAGGTAATAGCTTTTGAGCAGCTCAACGACGACATCCAAGTCCTGCGGCCCTCTTACACCGCACCCTAACATGATACCCTTGAAGCTCTTGACACCGATTGCCCTCTTCACCTTGTTCCACTCTATGTCCGTCAACTCCTCTTGCGCTGGCCAGAACGATACATTAGAGGCATTCAACTCCTCTACCTTCTTCTCTCCCCTCCACTTGTGTACAATCCAGGCAGACTCCTCAAAAGTACCTACATTGATACCTCGGATTGCTCTTCGCAGACCGATACCGAATCTAACAAACTTCTCCCGGATAATGTATGGTTTCGCATCCTTGAGGTACCAATTGTTGAGCTCGATGTTGATTTTTACGTGCTCGTTCTTCTTCGCGTACATGAGTAGGCCATGGAGGACCTCTCGACGAGGTGGGAAGTCAGGACCCCAATTGGTCTGGTATGTGACCTTGCGGAGTTTGCGGTCGAGACACGAGTCGCTGAGCTCGAGAATGTTGACGAGATATAAACCCTCTCTAGGTTTGGCGAGAAGATGTTTCAGAGAGAGCTCGAGAAATTTGGCTTCGTTGCCAAAGGCCTTGTGGATCTCGGCTATGCGGTTGTACGGCGTGCGCTCGCCAGCAACGTCTTGGATGACGACCTTTCCGTCTTGTGGCGACGAAATGACCAAGCTACCGGGCCCGTCGAGAACATACCTCCACACTTCTTGTCGAAGCTCAGCAGGCAGATCCAGGAGCGCACTCTTCCTATCAGGCTCATGGCGGGAGTAGGAAGTCCCCTTGATAGAGAAGCTCCCAACTTCTTCACCGCGCATCGCGAAACTGATCGAGACGCACTCGCGATCTACACGCCAAAGCGCTCGGATATCCGCGTCGCCGCCTATGCGCATTGTCGATGCGTCCAAGGACAGAGTAGAACTGGTCTTAATCGCGCCAGTAGTGGTATCGAACCGAAGGAGCTTCATGGTGGCGCCGTCCAGTGCAATCGCGACGCGCTCGGGCGATGTCTTGTCATTTTTATACCATCCGGTATAACGCCTAAGCGTGGCGGGATCGATTGCCATTGCGACAATGGTAGGATGAGTAGAGAAGGTATATGAACGAGAGATAAAGATCGTAGAGTAGGTAGTAGGAGAAGGTGTCGTGCAAGCCGAAGTCGAAAAAGCGGACAAAGCGCGGGTGCCTATTGATACAAACGCTCGCATGCTGCTTCACTTTCACTTTTCACCATATGACGTCGCGGAGGGCTAGGCCAATGTGCGAAGGCAATGTGTCTGATCACGCAAACGATTGCAAAATTGCAGGATATCATAGCCCATCGTCGAAGTTTGAGGTGCCACATCGCTACAGCTAGAGCACAAGACCTTCGGTACGAAAGTATCGCAAAGAGGAGGTGCAGGTATTCGGAATTGATCTTTCCAATTCGAGAGAATACATACACAGTGTCGAGAGGGCGTGACTGGCGCCCTGCGACCTGCGGTCTCGGTCTTTAATGCCCGCGCGCGCTTTTCCGGTTGAACGATATGGTGTAAAGCGTCCGAAGCACAGGTTTCAAAGGCTTTACAGACTCTTCGAGTCGGTCTCTTCGCACAATGGGTGACTGTCGACGCTATGGGCGCGCAACGACTGAAACTGCGCTCCTTGACCGTCCTCAGCGGTTGAGCTTACCCTTGCGCCTGCTGCCTATCAAGACACAGCCCGAACACCGATGACGCAACGATGTACCTTCTGAGATAAGCAATCACAAAGGTTATACTCTGTGGAATAACATTTGTGGGTTTATCCATATTTTGTGCAGATCACGATAGTGGCGTCGCTGTATTATAGTCTACCTAGGTAGTCTTCGCCTCGCGGAGCTCTGTCAACTCTCTCCGCACTTCGAAAGCAACCCTTGTGCCTTCCTCAATCGCACCGTCGATAAAGCTCCTCCAGCCAAGTGCCCAATCCGAGTTAGCAAACAGCACATTCCCATGCCTCTGACGCATATGATCCAGGTGTTTTGCAAGGAACCCAGGTGATGAAAAGAACCACGCGCCCTTTGCGAACTCATCTTTCGACCAGTTGTGGAATACTAGTCTCTCAATCTTAGGCTCGTCTTTTTGTTGCACAAACATGTTTGTGACTGCACGCTTAGTTGCGTCGATGTCGCCCTCAGGGTTGATGTGTTTGTTGCTGCCGCCAAAGCAGACGATATGTGTGTTGCCTGCGGGTGTTGTGCCATCCCCAATGGCATACATGAGCGGGTTGTGCGGATAGGTAACGCCTGCCCAGGAGCGGAGATCTTTGTTCGAAACCTCTGCATGGACCTTGACGGTCTGATTGACATGACCTATCGCAGTAGCCTTTCTTTTTCCAGTACTAAGGGTGGGATCGAAAGTCACGTCGCCTAAGACGTTCAAAGGCAAAGCTGAGATTAACCGCGCTGCGTGGTACTGGCGTCCATCGCGTGTAGTGACTTCGACTTTGAGGCCTGTGTCCTTGATGTGCTCGACTGGGCTTCTGAAAGCGTACGCGAGACGCTTGGTCAGGAGCGCTTCCTCGAATTCTACGTTCAATTCGTAGTGATCAACACTATGTGAGAAGTCGAACGACTTCTCCACGTCATTCATCATCCGATACCTTACGATCTCCCTCCAAGTGTTCGACTGGCCCCAATGCACCCATGTGCCTCCCATTTCGGATGAATAACCTTCGATGTTCGATGACCATGATCGGCCGCCAATGCGATCCCGACCTTCGAGTAGCAGCACATTCAATTCTTCGACTGCAGCGTTGCGCGCGGCTGTGAGGCCGCAGTAGCCAGCACCGACGACAATGACATCGTAAAGTTCGTCAGTGTTGGAATTGTTCGTGGAGGGTGTTATAACGCCAATGGAGGGAACCCCAGCTGTCAGGCCAGACGTAGGCGTCCAAGTGTAACCATCGCGGGAATACATGATACAATACGGATCAAACCTTGGAATCGATAAGAGAGACGCTGGATGCAAGCCTTGGAAAATTGAGCGGGGACTGTCACTTTAAGAAAGCGACCGCTTGTAGTGTTACAAGTCCGCATCGGCTTGGCCATGTTCCCAAACCAAGTCCACTACCAAGGGCTGTTTCTTTCCATTTCGGGGCATTAATGTGAGAAAGCGGTGGCCACGGCGCTACCAGGTACTGTGACGAAGAAAACAGGTCCGACCTCGGAACCTTGGCAAAGAAAAGGTGTATCCATGCTACCTAGGCTCCATCATACTTCCTTGATGACGAGGCGTTTTGGCTTCTGGCGTAAACGAAGCGGCGCTTCTGACTGTTCTCGTGTCACTTTGGCGCATCGTGGACGAACGCGGTTAAAATTAGGGTGGGGTAGTAGATGCTTGGCGTCTCCGATTAGCAGCCTATTTGGGACATAGCGCTTTGCAGCAGAGTGGGTCATCGTCGCGCACCCGTACCACCGACGTATGCTGGCAAAATCTACTTCGGATTGTATACAACAGCGTTTGGCCTCAACATGGCTGCCGATTCTCTGCCCGAGAACCTCAATGGAAGCCCGACCAAGACCCGTGGAGCCATCCGTCTTAATGAAGCATTCGAGCGTCTGCGCTGGTCGATCTTCGAGGACATCACCAACATCCTCGTTCTCGATGATCCAAAGACTGCCCTATCGCCCTTTGACGGTCACGCTATCGCATCAAAACCAGCTTCCGAGATCCCTCTCACCAAGATAGCCTTCAGCATCGACGAGCTCAATCAGTCCGCAGCTCTTGAAACAGGTTTCAGCGATGACGAGTTCGACGAGCCTGGTTTTGAGGAAAATCGTCGCTATCAGCGACCAGAGCCCTTGCTTGTTACCAGAGCAGATGGCGGTACTGTTACAGTCGCAGACGTCGTCCAGCAACTATCAGTCTACTTCCTCACTCACAAAAAAGACATACTCATGGCAAAAGCATATACGAATGGGGATATGAGCGACCATGGAGCGGACGACGATCAAGCCGCCACAAATACCCTGGCCAAAGATCAGGGTGCGTCTCCCGGCACGAGAGCTTTATTTGACGGGTTCTTTGGTATCATAGAGCCCAGCATGGTCTCGCTTCCTGTACTATTGTGGGCCGAGGGGGAGGGTGCCTCGTATCCATTAGATGACAGACTCCGACAATAGACACTCTGGGACCTAAGCTCATGAGTTGGCCTAGACTTACAGTCAATACGGTTCTCTCGTGTTCTGCATCCTGTCGCAATATCGCCCTCAGTGGCAGGCCGCGTACTTCCAAATCCTTGCACGTAGCCTTTGTGTGAGCCTCAGGAGCAGTCGCGTAGTGTCAATGCGGTGGGATCTGACTCAAGTTACATCACGAACGCTATGGATAGAAAAACCGAGTCAGATGAGATTGTAGAAGCGTATAGTTGCGTCGGCACTGGAGTGTGAAGATAACTCACTACATGATCTGGAAAGATGCCTTTCGCTGGACACCGCTATGATCTTCGGAGGTCACGCTGACCTCGCTCGACACGACAATAACATGCTTTCCATCTGATTTGGCAGAGTTAGCCTGCATAGGATGCATGGCCACATCAACCCCTTTGATCATGTCTTCCTCACTCTCATTGTCAAGCGTCAGGCCCCCAAAAGTGTGGCGCGCCCGGTGCGGCGCCCTTCGGCTAGCCCGTTTTCCACCCGGCCCGGATCCGCCCCCAATCGTTTCGAAGTCACTGCCTGGAGGCTCTTGTCCTTTTGCGTTGCTGGAGCCGATCGTACTGGGTAGGAAAGGCGTGAGCCAGTTCTTGAGCAATGGGAAGATCATAGGAAGGTTCGTCGTAAATATGGCGATGAAGGTCTCGCGAGTACCCCAAGAGGCGGTGAGCTCAGCACTGTTCAAAGGGTCCTGAAGTTCGGTTAGTCTCGAAGCCTATTTCATAGCGATCGTGCCACTGTGTCTTACCGTGATAAGATAGATGCTCTTCAATATCGCACACACAATAACGAGCATGCCAGCGCCAAGTACGAGCATGGCGGCAATCTTCTTGTATGTCCTCAGTCTCGACTTCCATAACATGGGAATTGGTATCAGTAGCAGATACACGTCGGTGGACACGTTGAAGACAAATGTGACCCAGATGAGTCGCTTTGATATCGCTGCTTGACAAGAGTTTCCGGGATCGGGATCGATCTGCCAGTAGCGCCAGAATGGTCGACAGGAGAGGTATATGGTGAAGATGATGATCACAAAACTAGTGATGATAGACGCAAGAGCGATGTAAATGCGGGTCGTGTACATTCCTAGGCCAGCCTGTGATTCATGTCAGTCAAAGCTCCCAGGGCTACTGCGATGGATATTCACACCGTGAGACGAAGGTAGAAAGCTACTACACATAGCTTGAGAGACCAAAGTAGGCAGGCAGAGGTGGTCCAGCCAGCTACCTGAATCTTAGATCCGATGACTCTGAAGCCCAGTTAGCTATGTGTGCGCCGTGGGCCACTCTTGTGTTCGTTGCGCGCCAGAGGTTGGCTTCGTGTATACCTCAATCTATACTCGGGGTCGTCTTGCGTCAGTGCCGCACGCTCTTTCGGCGTCATGCCATCATTTGCGAGACCATGTACGTGCACTCCCAGGCTGTACCCGAGGCTACATTGGGCGGTGTAGATCAGCTAGTAAACGGATTGTTAGCAGTATGGAATCTATGAAGGATTCTTTGCTACTCACGATGGCAATCCATACTAGGTAGTCATCCACTTGTAGTTTGTGGAGGCCCACGGCGGTAATCCTGGCGTACGTTCGCAAACACGTGAAGGAAACAGCGAGTGCATAGAGGGTCCATAGCTCCACGATACCCATAGCATGTTCCGCAATGATAGTGATGGATGATCGATTCAAGTCTGCTTCATCGCACTTGATCTCCAGGTCGGTCGGAATGATCACAGATCCAGAACAAACCGGATAGACTCGAATCTGTATCCGAGACATTCATGGCGTAGCCTAACTCGATAGAGTGTCAGCCAACAGATACCCCGTGTAATCACATCACATCGGCCCGAAGTCACATTGGCACCCAATCTGAGTGCGCCATCCGATACTTTGCAGAGAGAGGAAGGCACAAAGCGGCGCAGTTCTTGGCTCGCCAGCTATAGCTCATGATCACGCCGAATACGAGCATTACCTTCTTTATTGGCTTGCTATATTGCAATTGCATGTTCGCATGGCCGGGGAGGACAATGTCTTCGATGGTCACGTTCATGGTGTCGCCCGGGAAAAAGGCGCGCAATGATTGCCGCATTGCGCAATCAAGAACCGTCAGCGTCGTTGGCAGGACAGAGATTGGTATCCATGCATTCGATGAGTCTGTAAAGTACGAGAGTGCAAGCTTTCCAGCCAGGAAGGATGTGGGTGAAAATGTACCTCCACTAGCGCATGGGAAGCGGCTGTTGGCGTCTGGGCAGGCCAGGGCAACGGTGCGGCTCGCGGCATCTTGTCCGCGCCCCGAGCCAATCGCGGTGATGCCTGAGACCCACAAACCTCAATAACGTTCAAGCGCGCAAGTCGCGGCGAAGCCAAGATCATCGTAGGATCAGATTCGCGCCGATTGTGTGACCGAGCCGAATCCTTCGATGCAACCTATCCCGCCTTCACGCCTTCTGGACCCTGACGATATGCACGCTGCATGGCTGCCCGGAGGACTTCCTCATAGAGCGTGATGCTTTTAGCCGACAGCGCAGATGTCTTCCCGTATTTCAGATGCTTTGAAGCCACATTCCAGGATGTTGGTAACTCACGGCCGTGTCTTGCATTCTGCTTGACATCTCCCCGCCGGCATCATGTTTGCAAGAGTTCTGGCACCGTTGGCTGTCGCAAGCTCGTTCCTTACCTGTGTCGTTCCGATTGTCTCGGCAACTCCTACTTCGCCATTCGACCTCTTCTCTAGGACCACTGCAGCAGGTATCGACGTGAAGTCATTGGCACCGTATCTTTCTGCCACCGCAAAGATTTACCTCCCCGATACGAAGGAGTTTGCTACTTACACTACCCGATGGTCCAACCTACAGGCCCCTGCGCCGAGCATTGTAATCGCCCCGGGTACGGAGAAGGACGTCCAGAAGATTGTAAGTTCACATAAAGGCGGTGGGGTGTTTTGCGTCTGAACATGAGAGACAAGCAGCAATAGCTTACACGTTCACCACAGGTCAAGTTTGCAAATGATCACAATATCCCGTTTCTCACCTACAATGGCCATCATGGGACGCTTACGACCTTGGGAAAAATGGATTACGGTATCGAGATCTATCTGCCGCAGTTGAACTCAATTTCCATTGCGAAAGACGGAAAGTCAGCAACCATCGGTGGTGGAGCCAACGTGAAGAACCTCACCGATGCTTTGTGGGCTGCCGGGAAGCAGACTGGTAAGCTTTCCAACTTCGCAATAGACCTGGCTTGCTCTAACACCACTTAGTCACCGGCTGTTGCGAATGCGTCAGCTACCTGGGACCAGCCCTCGGTGGCGGCCACGGATGGTTCCAAGGCCACTATGGTCTTATCACCGATCAGTTCCTTTCCATGAACGTCGTGCTCGCAAACGGAGACTTGAAGACTATCGACAGCAAGTCAGACCTTTGGTGGGGTATGCAAGGGGCTGGGCACAACTTTGGTGTCGTTACATCCGTTACCACAAAGGTGTTCGACATCGAGCACTACGACTGGGCGATTGAGACGATTGTATTCAGTGGTGACAAGGTCGAGCAGGTTTACGAGGCGGCAAACAAGTATATCCTTCAAGGTGGAAAGCAGTCCGCAGATATACATGACTGGACATACTGGCAGAACGATGCAAGATACGATACAGAGGGAGTAAGACATATGACACATCTCAATGAATTCCATTCGCTAACATGTTTTCAGCCGGTGATCATCATCTACATCGTCCAAGAGGGCGTTACCACTGTCGATTCCAAGTACACAGCGCC